TATCCCGAAATATTTATTGAAGCTTGAGAACTGCTGCTTCTAATACTACTGACACCTTTCCTTCTGCTACTTCTTCCACTTGTAGTTTCCAGAAATGGTTCTGCTTCTAGAGACGCTTTGGCTTCAACAACAGGTAATTCCTTTTTTAGCTTTCGCTGTTCCAAATTTTTCCGTATTCTATTCATAACTTCCAACTTTTTCAATTCAATTTCCTTCATTTTGATGCTCGTTATTGAACTTTTAGACTTTGCAGACGTAGAAGCTATTGAATTATATTCTTCGTTTCTTCGTATCTTTCTGGCGGTTTTCTTGCATTATTTCTGCTAGTTTTTCTGATAGTACCTCCTGTCAGTGACATTTTTGTTGAATCTCAAACGGCTTCAATTTCGGCTAAACTGAATGTCTTCATCGCCTTTCGCACCATCTCCACTCGGGGCCATGTTGAATTATGAATAGCATTCCCACCACACAAAAAAGCCGACGGCACATTAGCAACAATATCGCAAGAGAAAGCGAATATGTTTGCGGAGATGTTCGCAGCAAACTCAACCTTGGATTCCCAGGAAAAAGTGCCGCCAGACATTCCACCCGTTGAAAGGCGAATGCCTGAAATTGTCTTTCGTTAAAGCATAATCAGACGCATTCTACTCGGTCTCAACACGAATATGTCTAATGGTCCTGATGGAATTTCACCCATTATTCTCAAAGTGGGCACCAGTATTGACACTGTTTCTCTGCAAGCTATTTACCATATCCTTCAAGTCTGGTATTTCTCCATCTTGCTGGAAAATAGGTATAGTCGAACCAATCATTAAAAATAAAACAAAAGCCTGCCGAACAACTATAGGACAATTGCCCTGTTATCAGTCATCTCCAAAGTGGTGGAGAAAACCACCAACATTGATATCATCAAATATCTGGAGAGCTCAGGAATCATTAATAGACAATATGGCTTCGCCACCGAAGGTCAACTGGAGGTTTACTTGCCTACGTGCCTTCGTGGTCACGAACAGCGAGGCTCTGGAACACATTGCCAAGGGAGGTGTTCTCCGAGGCATATAACCTCCAGAAATTTAAGAGGAACACTAATTTCTACCTTATTTCCCTTGGTTCTTACGATGTTTTCTGAACATTACAGGATATCCCTTTTCATGAGAACCAGAACATGAAAAAACTATATATAGCAAGCTTCATTAGAAACACATGGAGAATCTCTAGATGTAGCGTTAGATATATCGAAGGCATTCAACCGTGTTTGGCACCAAGGACTGCTCCACAAACTACCATCATACGGCTTACCACCTCAGCTATGTCATATTTCATCTAGTTTTTTTTCAGGTAGATTGCTTCATGTGGTGGTGGACGGAGTATCCTCTGATATCATTGCCATCAATTTCGGCGTTCCACAAGGATCAATTTTGGCACCAACATTGTTCCTACTTCATACCAACGATCTGTTGGGAGCAACCACTTGCCCTATTCATAGCTTTGCAGATGATGGTACTCTCCATACTTCGTTCTCTTCAAGAATTCCCATTTCCCAGAAAACTAAGAACTTACGAAGGCAGGCCAACGCTGTCAATGAAGATCAGAAATTACAGCCTGGGGAACCTCAAGCATGTATCTTCTCTAGAAAGGCGGAACTGAGTATACCTGATATAACAATGTCTAGTACCAACATTCCCATCAAGGCCACAATATCTTCGCTCGATGTCACCATCAGCAATCATATCTCATGAGCAAAATTATGTCCAATCCATCGCAAAAGCTGCTCCACAAAAACTTTTTTTTGTTCCGTGCTATCTACTTTACACCCCAACAGCTTCTTACGATCTACAAAGCAGAGAATACTCTTCTTTTGTATGGTTTTCAGCACCCAAACATATGCTGGTGGTCTCAGATTCCATTTAGAGGAGAGCCATTCACCTAGTGGGTGATGCCACACACTAGAGTCTAGCCATAGCACTATAGCGAGGTAATATTGCGAGTGCTGCTCGCTGGGCGCGAAAAATTGCAGCGACACAAAAATAAATATGAATTAGAGTATGAGTACTAAAATATTGTTGTGAAATGATATATGAAGCAACGGCTTTCCTAGATAATACCATGATAGCACGTACATCCATCTATCAAAGAGGCCCTATGAATCAGAAGTTTTACAGGGTGATCCCTGGAATCATGACACACCACAAATCGATTTATTCAGATAGAACACTCTACTTTTCATAATTATGTAGGATTGAAGTCACTGAAATATTGAATCATCATCATTCTCAATCACTCCATTCCTTAGATATCCTAATTATACATAAGGTATAACTACTATTACGTCTTTGAATTATATCGAATCGCACAACTTTGAACACTGATGTGAGGATATATAATTCCACAAGAATTCCCCCTTTTCCCTGCAAAAATGATATCAGCGATCAGAACGTTGTATTTTATAACAACGAAGAAAACTTGGGTGCATTTCTGAGAGTCTGGAGGAAATGTGACGTTCAACCTCAAATATCTAGAAAATGATAAAAGACACAAAGTTCAGTATTTAGGTATATTCGAAAAACAAACACAAACTCAAAATACTCGTAAAATATAAAGTGTGTTCGAGATAGGAACAATTATGAAAATGAAATTTCGAACAAAAAAAACAATTCAATTCTGATGAACTAAGTTAGGGAGGCGGTCAAAAATAAACGAGAAGATTCCTGTAGTGCAAACAGGGTGATTTACGGTGAGGGCACATTAGACGTTTCTGGTGAAACAAACATCGAATCACTTTGAAAATTTGATAAATACTACTCGATCTCATAACTAAGAGATCCAGGATGAACAGAGTTGCCCCAATTGTCAGCAGGAGCGAGACAGTACTGTTTAGACCCACGAGGTCTCATCAGCCGCTCTCGGTCTGCTGACAACTGGGACAACTCTACGCTTCGGGTATATCACCCATTTCGAAGACGCAGGGTATAACATGAAGTTATAGTCATGTTGTAGCTATCTAGTGGCAAATCTCTAAGGTAGAATCCAGAGATCGCTGCCATCTATCAGATGATTTGCCTCAAAATCTCACTGCGTTCAAAGAATCTTCCTATCAGAGAGCCTAAAAGAAAAATTCACCAGCTTGTCAGTGATAATTTGTATTGAAAATGGTTCGGAGAAGAGAAACAAAGGTATATAGTGAGAATATCAAACTTTCTCTTAGCTTTGGACGTTTCGGTAACGCATCTGCTCCAGTATTCAACATAAAAAATGGATACTTGTAGCAAATTCGTATTCGTCTTGACACTTCTCAGTTCTCAGTGACAATTGGTGACGTTGGCAATCAAATGAGTTACAGGATGTTTTCATTGATCAATCTTGAATTCGCCATTTTCATCTTCAGATTCCAGGAGGAATACCATGTTCTACCTATATCAACTGAACAGAAAGCAATGCTATTGTCTCCGTTCAGAAGAATGCAGGCAGATTCCTTGATTTTTTTTCTTCTGGTTGTTATCATATTTTCCAATGATTTTAATATTATTCCACTCTGCCATATGTTGTCCATCATCAGTAAGGATATGTTCAGCTAGTTTCGATTTGTCGATGTATCTTTTCTTTATATTGTACCACAATTTTTTGAAGATTGTTCTTAATTTTTTCAGTAAGGACTCTGGAATATTTGAGAGTGATTATTTTCAATTTGAATGTGCCTATGTAACTAATCAAACATCATTATAATATTGCCAGCTCTACAAGAACTGTGATGATTCACTCCGTGTGAGTGGAAATGCACTCTTTGTTTCTTCTAATTTCTAATTAGGTGTTTTACTATTACTATAATTGATATTATTATTGTGAATATGCTAGTATATGTGTGGCTGAATGAGTGAGTGTATGTATTTTTCATGTTTTACCTAATATGTAGGTAAATATAACATTCAATCATCTTTTTGCATTTATATTGCTATTTCCACCTTCTTCGAACCAAGTGTTACATACTCATCGGGTATTTATCAAGTCAACTTTTCTTATGTCTAATCTATGTTCTTTGTGTACCAGTATTATTCACCATAGCGCCCTTCATATGCACGGGGTGGTTCACCATAAATGCCCCCCCCCCTCTAGCTCAGTTATTTTTTAACCGATTTCAAAATTTTGAATATCATCATCATTAAATGATGTTAATTGGAACAGATACAGGGTGATCAGAATTCGGAATCTTGAACCACCCTGTAAATGTTCCAATTAAATGTCAGTAGATAGTAAATAAAAAGTTAATATGGGGACGTAGAAGCCGTTTTGACCAATAATGAATAGTTTCGACACAAAAAAATCATAAAGTTGTTGAAGAATCTCGATTTTGAACACCCTATATCTCTGTAATCATTCCCGCTAGACCCCAAGTGTGATATATTGATGAAATCAGCTCTTCAGGAAGAATTTTAAAATACAATGAAATACAGGTTGTTCCGTTTGAAAAAATCAAGTAGTACTATAGATCGTTTGTTCCGAGTAGCCTGTGTTTTCTGATGCAACGGGAATAAAATTCCTGAAAAATCATTTTAGATTATTTTTAAAAATTTTAAATCGGTTCGAAAATGAGTGAGCTAGAGGAGGAGACATTTATGGTCGTTACTTAATGGAAATCCATGGCAAATGTAAAAACATCACAAACGAGAAGATTTCCACAAAATCCTCAAACACACGACAAGTTTCGCTAAGACAGTTGCTTCGTCAGGTTATATACTGGCCCATTATACCAATATATACCTGACAAAGCTACTTTGTTAGCGAAACATGTCGTTTGTTTGAGAATTTTGTGAAAATCTTATCGTTTTTGAAGTTTTTACATCACTATCATTTTTCACTCGTATTTTTGATTGAGATATTTTTGCACGATTAACTGGAATGCTGAATTATGGTCGAATATGTATCGTATAGAGGCCAGACTTTTAATAGAACATGTATTTATATTACTATGGAAAATGAAAGAAGTGATCAAAAGGTGTACTCACCGCGAGTCGCTCCTTTCCAAGGTATCAAGTTGAGCTCTGAACGGTATATCCTGAAGTGTTCTATTGAAAAATAGGAGCCTCAAGAACTGGCTGGAAAAAATATCAAACAGTGACTAAGTATAATCTTGAATTGAAAAGTATTCAAACGAAAAAGAGAATTGGTTCAATCGGATCATATTCAATTATACACAAAGATGTGAGTTTGTGTTTCAATTTCATCTGGGCAAGCCATATTTTGTTGCTTTTTTCCAAACCATTATTTATATACATAGTTAGCAAATTGATATTCGATATTCCAATATGTATACATGTTGCTGCATATCCTTCGGTCACTATTTGAAAATTGCATGTGCGGCATTTAGGGCAGGCAATTTCAAAATGTTTGGAACATCATGCAGTATTATGTCAGAATGGTCCGTCTCACGACCGCAAGGTCGTGGGTTCGATTTCCAGCACGGGCAAGGAACTTTTTTCAATATTTTATTTACGAATTAAATATTGTAAAGTTTCGGAGCATCGGCTGGGGATAGTCCTGCACGATTCGCTGTTGCGTTCCAATTAACAGTGCTGCTCCTAAAGTGGCACATGGAGTTAGTAACAAAGCCTACACAGAACACGCAGAAAGATATGATGATGTGGTTGTGAGCATCAGAGAAGAAGTAGGACGGTGTATGTAGGTGGGTGTGGAAAACTACCAGCTGAGCGTGAGAGCGGGCCAGCTGCTTAAGTAGACCTCGGTCTCGGGGGTTAACGATGATAGTTAGCAGGCCTGCCACTGCGCATAAGGTAGTGAGTACATTACTAGCCTACAAAACACAGCTGAAAAACTCTGAAAAGAGAGCTGAAGGGCGGTGCCTGAAAAGAATGTTAGCCAGCTGTCTTGAGTGAACCACATCAGTCATTGAAAACACTTGGGGTTTGCAAAAAGGTCCCATTGGGGACTAGTTGCTGACGTGGAAACGTCCCCCACCAGTACCAGTACCAGTACCAGATTATGTCAGAATACATAAAATATACCTAAATAAGGAAGCAACTAACAAAATTTCTTAAAATGAAAAAATTGGCGTCTCCAGGCATTTGAAAATAATGTTGTTATATTCCCCTTAGAGGATCGCCCTGTGTAACACGCCTCCCGGATTATTCTCGAACATCCCAATGATTCTAACATGTACTGGGATGTATCACCCTCCTTTATCCTCGTAATTCGCAACATATTTTGGCAAATCAAAAACGGTTCTGGAATAAATATTCACGATTTTTTTTATTTTGTGCTCACTTTTTCTTCATGCCAACAAAATACAAGATGGCAGAAGGAACAATTTCTTTTCAAATGAAATAATCCAAAATTTTATCTGATAATGATATATGAATAATATATATTTTTGAATCAAGATTGACGGGCTTCATCAAATTATGGAAAAAAATATGAATCATATCATTTAAAAAAAAGTTTTTCCTGAGCCACCTCGTAATTTGTTTATATAAAGAAAAAGTGAGCACAGATTAACGAATTCGTGAAAAATATTCCAGTAAAGTTTTTGGGTGACCAAAATATTTTGAGAATTACGAGGATAAAGGGGGTGACACAGTTAGGTGAGACATCCTGTACCATCGTATTTCCGAACACCAAATGTGTTGCGGCGACAGAACGTGACAGAATATTCTCGACGCGATCTCGAATCAGTTAGAACGATCGAACGAACAGTTAGAAAGCGAGGTAATGTTCTTCAGCTTCAGCGGAATCGATGTTGGATCGAATTTTTGAACAGATGGTGGCTCAGCAGAAGAAAATCACGGACCAGATAGCAGCTCAGCCACGAATATGGCGGCTCAGCAGTTGAAGAGATATCGGCTCAGCAGTGAAGAGATATCGGCTCAGCAAGACGAGATCGCGGACCATATCACTGCTCAACAGCAGGAGATAGCAGCTCAGCGACAGCAGATTTCGAAACAGATAGTGGTTCAGCAGAAGATCACAGACCAGATAGCGGCTCAGCGACTGGACATCACGGACCAGATAGCGATTCAGCGACAGGATATTGCGGACCAGATGGCAACTCAGCGAGGGTACAAATCTCTGCTCAGCAAAATCAGATCGCCTTGCAGATCCCATCTCAACGGAAAGTTGCGTCGCAGCAGAACCAGATATCGGCTCAGATTTCTGTCCAAGTCGCCATTCAGCTAGAAGAACTGACAACTGCAAATAAGAAGCTGCAGCAGGAGATCAATGAACTAAATAGACGGAGAGTTGGCTAAATAAAAAAGTTTGTCATCGATACATGGCTGATTCCTACTCTAAATAGATCCCCTTGTGTAGCAAAGTTGAAATGATGTTGTCTGTCAGCGCGGCCCCGTGGCTTAAAGCTGGGTAGACAATCAAATAGGTTAAATTTTGATAAACAAATTCACTGTCAGACATTATCAGTGATCTTTCACCGTGAGCCAGCATATTTTTCAATTGAATCTGTTAATTTCTTGTTTTTGTATATGATAGTGTGTAATTCACAAAAACAAAAAACCAGACTTGGCACGTGGTAGGCTGAACCCTAAGTTAACGTCCTCTAAACTCATCGAACAGATTCAAACTGACCACACAATTCAGAACAGCATTATATTAGATGACATGAGACCGCCTCTCTGGCGGTCTCGGAGTCTTTGGCTCATTCCAGTGAACGCCGCTGCGGCGGTGCCGGCAGTGAATGTGTAAAACAGATATATGGGTTCTAATTATGAAGATATCTTCTATTTATCATTAAGAAACACGGAAAATTGTTGGCAGACAATCTGTTAATAGCTAAAGTGCTGACAGACAGCGCAAAATGAAGTGAGATTTTAAATTATCACATACATCAATCCAGATTGATTGAATACCTCATTCTTTTAGTCAGCCACATGCAAACTGGCATACGAATAAACAGTTACTTAAAAAGTGGCAGACATTTAAGAGCGCGCTGTTGCTCGAGTGTTTACAGCGCACGCTCCCCGCGTTTACAATTTAAGTTTTGAATGTGAGTATTCATGACGAATCCGAGCATGCCAAACAAACTCCGTAATATAATAGTCATTTATAAAGGTAGTAAAGAATATCACTATAACCCAGGGAACTAGATTATATCCCGAGCCTTCAGCCGAGGGGTATAAGGTCCCTTGGTAATAATAGTCTTTGATGCCAAGGTGTTTATTGATCTTTTTCCATCACTAGCTCTTGAACTTACCATTATTTACTCCTTTTCAAGGCGTTAGTTTGTTTGTAATGCCAAGGTAATTTTCGTCATTTCATGAACCACTAGTCAATAAAGACATAGCCTCTTATATAATCAACCCGAATTCACTGTTCTTATGCGAGATTCGCGAGAATTGCACTCGAATTATCAATAACGACTGGTCAAATGTTGTCATGATCATATGACTACTAGATTTCAATCGGAATTGGAAATAAGTGCTTTCAAAGTGATAATAGATCCATATTCATATTTCACATAACTATAGTGATTGAAATATCCTGCTAGTGGTGAAAAAATGTGGTATACACCTTGGTAGGAAAGACTAAATTACCACGGTACTCTATAACCTTGGCTGAAGCCTCGGGATATAATCTTGGTCCCTGGGTAATACTGATATGCTTCACTACCTTGGTGTATAAATAACTATTTTTCACCACTAGTAATGTATTTCAATCATTATATAGTTCTGTGAAACTGAAATATGGACCTATTGTCCTTATGGAAGCACTTCTCTTCAATTCGGAATAACATGACAGCATAATGACAAGTCGTTAATGAAAAATTCCTGCAAATCTCGCATCAGAGAAATGAATTCGGGTTAATTATAAGCGGGGTGGCTATGTCTTTATAGACTAGAAGTTTATAACATGTAGAAAGCTATATATAAAGTAATGGTAGGTGCTATAGCTACTGGTGGAGAAAATTGTATTGATGTAGTTTTTATCTAATTAGTCACCTTCCTGTTTTCTATTCTTAACCTTCCAGTAGTTGCGCCTCATCCAGGATATTGTTTCTAGGTGCGGAGTCTGAGTCTGCAATGGAGAATTCGGGTAGTTTGAACATGTTCATGGTTTCGAAGCAAAACGAATTCATCTCCTAGGATGTTTTCAATGGTATAACGAGGCGAAATGGTTTGGATATTGCCCAAAGAATGTTCGAATCTTAAGTGAAAAATTGAATTTCGTCATTCTGTATGAGGAATATAGGAAATTCCGAAATAATTTCAGGATATCGTCCCACGCGTTCAGAAAACAAGATTCGTGAAGAAATAAAGAAAACCTTGTGGAATACGGGGGCACTCTTACATTTTCATTACTGTAACACTTTTTTCAATTACTTGGTGTGCCATGACTGAGGAATTCCGATGTGTTTGTGGAAAAACGCAGCTTTCAAGCACTGCTTACCAATTGAGAATCCATCCATTTTTCGAAAAATTATAGCAAATTCAGAATTGCCATAAATGTCAGTGGTCCAGTTAATTCTTTGAGTAATTAATGAAGGTAATGTGTATAAAGCAACTCCATCTCAAATACTAAATACTTGAATAATATTCAATGTAAAACACATGTCGGCTCGTATCTAACTTGTGTGACCGTTGCATAAAATACTCAAATTATGTATATTTCAACAAATTTCAACATAATTAAAACTGAATGCTAAACAATTCAAACAAGTATTTAGAAACATAGACCGCGTGATCATTCCCAAGAACGTGTTTCCATAGACTGACCGAAAATTTGTTTTATAATGGAAAGTAGTTACGTATTTTCATTGGTCAATATATGTTTCTTGATAATAATCTGCGTTAAAATAAACAATAGTATGGTGAATTTTCTCAGACACTGAATTTTTATCAGTAACTAGTATGCTCGTATCATCAGCAAAGAGTATGAAACTAACCGTAGGAAAGTTGCACACAATGTCATTCACATAGATCAAAAATACCTAACACTGATCCCTGTGGGACACCAGTTTGCATATAAGCACATGCTGAGTCGTGGTATGATTGAATACCTAACATATCATCTTTTATTCTGACACATCATTCGTTATGATAGGTATGATTTGAACCAGTTGTTTGACAAA